CTTACAGTGAAACCATAATAGGTCTCGATGGACCAAAACTGACATTCCCAAATTTGTAGGCGCACGCAGCGTTGATTATGGCGATGTCGGCCCACGGAGAAAATTGCGAGAGGACCTGAAGTGCAAGAGTTTCCGATGGTTCCTGGAAAACATTTACCCCGAGTCGCAGATGCCTCTTGATTACTATTATTTGGGAGAGGTAGGTTATATTTCGGGTAACGATTTGTTGTATATTTGTTGATTTATGGTTTATTTTTATGGATTTTAAGATTGTAAGTAAGACAGTAAACAAGAGTGAATAAATGGTCAAGTTAGTAAAGATGAGTAAGTAGAGAGAGAGAGAGTAAGTAAGTAGAGAGAGAGAGAGAGAGAGAGAGAGAGAGAGAGAGAGAGAGACAGTGAGAGAGAGATTTGGTTAAATTAATTGCTGTATTTTTTCTAACCTTTACCATTTCAGTTTTTTTTAATAAGTAATTTCTTGTAAGAGGACCTTGATGTAAGTGTATTCTACTGGGCATGATATATCTTCTTAACCAGTAGCTCTCAAACTATAAGATAAAATCACCCTTTTTCTTAACAATGTATTTGAAAAAGCGTTAATCCTACATTTTCATAATATGATGTTATTTTCTTAGATTCGCAATGTAGACACACAGAGCTGCTTGGACACTTTAGGTCGCAAGAGTGGGGAGAACCTTGGCACCAGCTACTGCCATGGTCTCGGAGGCAACCAGGTTGGCATAGACCAGATACATCTGAGAAGCAATTTTTTTTCTTCTTAATTTCCTTCCATCCCCTTTTTCCTTATGAAATGTCTCCTTTTACTTTTTTTTATCACTAACATTCCACATATCATTACTAATATTTCACCTATGCATGTTTATATTTCAGATGTACAGGGATGTTTTCATAATTGTATGTTTATCATTCTCTCTTTTATAGTGCTGGTTCTGTTACTGGTGGTGATGTTCATTGTGCATAAGTTCATTCTTTTGTTTAATCACATATATGTTTGTATGTATGTGTAAATTGTATACAGACATTTATAGATTGAATTAATTTATGAAAGAGATTGCAAGGTGCGTTCATTTTTATTTTGTGTACATATTTAATAAGAAGTTATCATTATGATAGCAAGAACATGCTGATTTGCTCTTATATGGAAATGCTTATGTTGCTAATGTACATGTATCACAGACTGCAATTCCTGCTGCAATTCATCTTTTATCATTGAAATGTAGCACAAAGGTAATTAAAGTTATTGCTGTGAATCATTGAAAAATCGGTAATTGCAAAACTTACAGTGAAACCATAATAGGTCTCGATGGACCAAAAACTGACATTCCCAAATTTGTAGGCGCACGCAGCGTGAGAGTGAGAGAGATTTGGTTAAATTAATTGCTGTATTTTTGCTAACCTTTACCATTTCAGTTTTTTTTAATAAGTAATTTCTTGTAAGAGGACCTTGATGTAAGTGTATTCTACTGGGCATGATATATCTTTTTAACCAGTAGCTCTCAAACTATAAGATAAAATCACCCTTTTTCTTAACAATGTATTTGAAAAAGCGTTCATCCTACATTTTCATAATATGATGTTATTTTCTTAGATTCGCAATGTAGACACACAGAGCTGCTTGGACACTTTAGGTCGCAAGAGTGGGGAGAACCTTGGCACCAGCTACTGCCATGGTCTCGGAGGCAACCAGGTTGGCATAGACCAGATACATCTGAGAAGCAATTTTTTTTCTTCTTAATTTCCTTCCATCCCCTTTTTCCTTATGCAATGTCTCCTTTTACTTTTTTTTATCACTAACATTCCACATATCATTACTAATGTTTCACCTATGCATGTTTATATTTCAGATGTACAGGGATGTTTTCATAATTGTATGTTTATCATTCTCTCTTTTATAGTGCTGGTTCTGTTACTGGTGGTGATGTTCATTGTGCATAAGTTCATTCTTTTGTTTAATCACATATATGTTTGTATGTATGGGTAAATTGTATGCAGACATTTATAGATTGAATTAATTTATGAAAGAGATTGCAAGGTGCGTTCATTTTTATTTTGTGTACATATTTAATAAGAAGTTATCATTATGATAGCAAGAACATGCTGATTTGCTCTTATATGGAAATGCTTATGTTGCTAATGTACATGTATCACAGACTGCAATTCCTGCTGCAATTCATCTTGTATCATTGAACTTCTATTATATGTCTTTTCTTTCCAGGTGAAAATTCTCAAAATATTCCAACTTTTAACTTTTTTCCGACTTACAAATAATGTTTAAGGCGAACCTTTCGGTTTAAAAGTACAAGAATAAATTGCACTCACATTAACAGATAATGAATGTAAATGGGGAAACGTGCTTGGCTACATCTACTGAGAATTTGCAAATAGCTCATTGTGACTTCAATTCGGGATCGCAGGTCTGTTTGAAAAGCACAGTGTGTTTGTCTGCTGATGAGATTTGAGTTGATTTTTTTTTATGCACAGGGAGAGTGTAGAATGGTTATGGGTTGTGATTTTAGATGGCAGTGTGTCAAAATTTAACTTTTTTATTTGATTCTCCTAAGATTGATATTGCTACTAGGATTCGTTTGTACAAATTTCTGAATTGATATCAATGAGTATACTTATTAAACTATATATGCTTATGGAAATGATATAAATTTATATAAATGATATAAATCTTTTGAACTTGTCTAAAAAAAATCACAGAAACCACTCTATTACAATGAATGTACAATAGAGATTGGGCACTGTAGCTAAGTATGTAACTTCATTATTTGTCATTTGTAAATGTCGGTGTATAATATCTGTCACAAATTTGAGAATTTTTTCACTTTGTTTAAACAAACAAACAGCAATGCACATGCACATGCAGACATGCCCATGCACAAACATACACACACATAACCATTTAACTTTATTATCAGCTGTAATTATCAAATCATATTTTCAGTCCATTTTTACTTATTGAATGATTGATAGCTACATCAGTCATATTCAGTAGATGACACTTGCCCTTTGCTTATGCATGCTTATTCTGTTCTTTCCTTCCTCCTTTTTTCTTTTTACAGTGTGATTATGGTAATTTCTACATCTACCTTGATTTATAATAATCTTGACCACACTTGCTGTAGCAGTGAATGGGTGACTTGATTGTTTAACTGTTCAATTGTTCTGGATGATTAGGCCACATATGTTGGAGAATGGAGTGCTCTGCATATTTATTGAATAGTTAAGTTTAAACTCCTTTTATTGATGTCAGTTACATGTTGTACAAATCCAAATGTCATTATTTTATTTGTTAAAGGAATCAAGTAAACATCTAAGAAGTAAAATTTGACGCTGATTCACAGAAAATATATCAGAGACTTTGTTCATTGAGTAATCATTACTTTTGAGTTCAATTTTGATTGCATTCAGTTGTATTTCTATTGATGAGGGTTACATTAATTCCCTAAAAGTTGGTCACACAGTTGGTTGAACACTATGGATTTACACAATTATCATGTAGAGGATGTTTTCACCCTATTTTATGCACTTTTATCTTATCACCTAAGAAAACCCACATGTGTGATTAGGATACACACTTGCATTCCTTTAATGTTTTTGTATACACTGTTAGTTTACTTCATCTTTTCCTGCAGTTTTTAAGTTGCCTTATTTTAGACTGTATTTCTTTCTTTCATACCTTTCTTTATTAGGTCTGAAGGAATTTTTCTTACTTTCTTTTACAGTTAATTATCTGATTTGTTTCCCACATCTTTCATTTCTTGTGCATTCACTCTTGTTTTTACTGGTAACAGAACCAGGTAAAGAAATCACAATAATATATGGGTTTGTTGTGAAAATAAAGAGATGGAGATTGGTCTGTGTGTGATGTTCCATATTCAAGATACCCTGTACATCTGCTTGCCTTCCTCACTGTCCTTTGACACTTAAACATCTTGAAATATGTGAAAATAAGGTGAATTAATGTCTGGAATATGTTGGATATATATTTTTTCCAACAACTTAGAAATATGTGACATATTCCCTCTCTTAACAGGTATTTGCATACACAAAACGGCAGCAGGTTATGTCAGATGATAATTGCTTGGATGCATCCAATCCAAGTGGGCCTGTTAAGCTTGTCCGCTGCCATGGCATGGGTGGAAACCAGATGTGGACCTATAATGATCAGGTAACATTTTGATCAGATATCTTTGAAAGCTTATTTAAAGAGATAGGGATACCAGTTTCGTGATGGTATTGTTTTTGAGTTAATGATAATTCGTTCTATTTTTAGAATATAGTATATTCTTTCTTGATATGTGAGTAATCTTGATATTGAGTATTGTATTTAATAGTGCATTTAATGTTTCTCGTAGAGAATATTCAGCCATATGTTGTTAGTATATCAAGACTAAAAAATGTTCTTATTTGGTCAAGTACGTTAGGAAAAATAGAAAACAGAATAGAACTGAAACTTGATTGTTAATATACATGTTTCAATGCTTCACAGGATGGATCACTCCGACATGTTAATTCTGGTAGATGTCTACAAAAGCCTGATGCCCGTGATGTCACTTTGCCTGTCTTGAGGCCATGTGATGGATCAGCAGGTCAACAGTGGGTTATGAAAGGCTCCTTCAAGTGGCAGGCTAACTGAGTGTATGTCATGACTGTTATTTCTGATGGTTACTGAATTTCCCAGTAATTCATCTGCATTGTACATTAGCGGACTGAGTAGTAGATGACTGTGAAATGCCTACACATTTTCAATTTACAGGATAATAATTGTTAACTGTATTTTGAAATGTTGTATGTGCATTGTATCCTTGGGGTATACAATCATTTAAAAAAAAAGATATGTAAAACTATGACATATTATGAACTTGTGTATTTAAAATGTGTGTCTTTATGGAGATTCATGGTATATCAGTAGATGATAATGCTTTAAGACAGATATGATGTGAAATATAGGTAAATTTCTACTGGTTGTGAATAATGGACCAGCTACTTAAAGAGCTCAAGGTCTGTTTTACCAAGATCTTGGACTATGGACAGACATACCATCCATAATGAAGCTAACATTGTTTCATCTTTTGTACTTAATACACTTTTGATTAATGAAAAAGATAGACTCCTACATAGTGATGGTTATACTATCTAATTCTCTGGGCATGGCAGAAAGATTTACTTCTTAGGAAATTAATGTATAGAGTGTTTGGTCCTTCTGTGGAAATGATAAAATGTAATCCCCAGAGTGGGGATGTAGGTGAAGTTTGAGAAGACTAATTTTTGAAGAATGAAGTTTTGTTAAAATTTGATTGCAGAAAGAACAGTTAAAAGCAGTCTTATATTCCTGCCAAAGTATAGAAAGATTATATAATACATAGGTTCAAAGAAAAAAACTATTTTGTGAGCTAGAAATTAATATTATATAAACATGATGATCAATATGGCAATTAGTGTAAACATACAGTGCATGTTGTACCAATATTGAAAATATGTGCAGATACAGTGAAGTATGTATATATAATGTAAATATGATATTATCCTGTAACTTCCATAGTTATATCTTCCTGTATTTTCTGTCCAGGTAAGAATGTGTAACTAGTGCCTTCTAAGAAAGCCAGAGAAGGTTTTGTGTTGTAATGGAAAACCTGGCATATAAACTAAGACTATACCATAAGAGTTGGTGTTGATGGCCATTCATATTAATAGGAAAAGGTGCTGAGTATTTTTTTTTTTTTTACTACAAAAATCTAATTAAATTCAATTGACAGTAGGTCACACCTGTTGTGATTTATGGGACTAAAATGTGTATAGTGAAATAATCCTGGATTATCAACTTCCCAAGATTTGTAACACTAGACTTTCCACTTTTTTATATTAACAGACTTGTGATTTATCTTTAATAGATCTCCTTTCATTAGCATTCAAGTTACAATGAAGTTTAATATATATTCATGAAGTGAAGAGATATTTTTGACTGTTTGATTTAATGTGAGGTATACAGATTTCATTTTATTATTTTCAATACAGAGCAAGAGTTTATGATCAAGTATGGCTTTGTATATGATCAGTAGATAATAAGAGCAAAAATATATAAAGATCTTCCATAAATTAGGTGTAACTGAAAATGTAATAATTACTTGAGTTTAAATAATGCACTCAGTGAATTCTAAACCTCTTGAAGCCAAATTTATGAACACTATTTCCAGCAAAATGTAATTAGAGTTTAAGAGGTTAAATTATATTATTAGTATGCTCAATGGACTTGAATCTTTATGTTAAGCAGATTCTTTTGTGCTATCATGAAGAAACTGTGATAATTGCACAAAATGTATCACTGGGTAAGATTGGTACAGTCAGATAGGGTAATTATTTAAAAGTTGCATACAGAGAAACTCATATTATGGTATTTAATGTATCAAAATTAGGATATGGTAAAAGTAATGAATGAAAATGGCTATACAACTACAATGTTTTGCTAGAACATCATACCCTTAAAGTGAAGTGATCCATTATTAATTGCCACTAATGAGCTGTTTTGAAATTTAAGGATTGAAAATATATTACCACGATGTGAATTCTCAGTATGTTGAAGAGTTTTCTCGTGTCATAAGAAATTTGTTTATTTCTCAGGTTACTATTTTGAATGATAAGTAGACTAAGTCAGGTTAAAAGTGCTGAGACAAACAAGACAGCATATTAAGAAAATGCTTGTGCAACTCACTCTTTTATTACAGATCTTAAACATTGAAGGTTGATATGGCAAATTTACTACTTTTAAACCCATGCAAAGAGAAGTGTAAGTTTATGAAAATTTAATTGATAAATCTATTTGTGAAATGAGGAAAACAGTGAACATTTTTTTGAAAGTCAACCCAAACTTCACTGATTGTCAGCTATGAATACACTTAATTATTTATTATTGTTATCATTCATGTCTTGTTGAAAAGTCCTCATGATGGTGTGACAATGGTTGTGAATTTTTTGTGTGCATTTTTGTTCTTCATTTGCGGTGTTGGGACGAGTCTTTTCTCTCTTTTCTGTTTTGAAGTAATTAGATAATATCTTTCATGGGTATGGAAAGTTCTTGAAAGAGAATCTATAGACAGGGATCTGAATGTTCAGACTTGTAATACTTTTCATGAAATCAATTCACTAGGTCCATCATCATCTAGACAGTGTTTTTAGTCATGATTCATCCATCAATATCATATAAGAAAAAAATCTTGACCATATTGTGCTATTCTGAATTATTCCTTGTGCCAAGACTCTCGGTAAAAAAATTCTTTGTCATGAATTGTATTATCTTTGGATAAAAGTAAGATATGCATATGTCATTAGTGATTCATAAAGTTATACAGTTGCCATTGGAAAATTAGTTAATAACTAGATTAGTTCCTTAGTACTAAAAAAGCTCCTTTTAACCCAGTGATTCTTAAAAGGACAAGTAGAAATGACATATGCAGAACATAAAAGTAAAATATTTTGCTATATATGGTCATGATTTTTTTGTTGTTGTTGTTATGCTACCACTAAACATTATATCACAGCTTACTTTTTAACAAGCAGATTCCCCTCTCCCCCCACCCCCATCCAATTAACAGTGAACTGGAAGATGTGAGGTACAACTTTTAGTGGGTTTTCCTTAAAAATACCATCAATTCATAGAAAAGATAAGTGCTTTGTTATTTTTCCACATTCCAATATTATCCACTTTCATGCTTGTTTAATAGGAAAGAAAATTCCTTTGTGTGAGATGCATTTGTTTTGTGTTGTATATTAAGTTTGAATTTGCTGAGTGAATGTGTGATAATCCACAATGTAACCCTTCCATATGATATTTTATAACCTTATTGGTTGTAAAAGTATATAAAATAAGGAAATATGTGCCAATGAGGAATTCAATATTGAAACTTCATAAGTAAATAAGTATGCCAAGTTGTATAATGTAGTGTGAGTGATCAGCTAAATATATTTGCGATAGAGAAAATCTGCAAGAACTGGACTTATTAGGAAATGAGCATGAAAGTGGTGTTGTCTCTCTTTCCCATTGGTATTCTCTCTATGTAGTGGATCATTCCATAATGCACCAATGCATTATTTTCTTTATCAAAGATGTGCATCATACTTGATTCTGTTATGTGATTTTCATTGTTTTGATATTGTACAGTCTTCATCATTCCCAGTAGGAGTGGTATTTTCTTGAAAGCTTGTTTTCAACCTTGGAAGGTTTTGACTAGATGGAAACAGAAAATTCATCTTATACAAGAGAAATCTCGAATGAACTTCAGGCTTATAGGCAATGTGACAAGTGTGTAGTTTTGATTACAAAATGTGATTTATATATAAACAATATGCACTTCACAAAGCTTGACTAAAATAGAAACAAAGGCAGATAGTTCCATTTAGTGTTTACAAAACAGGATGCTGGATTTCCTGGTGATCATGTTTTATTGACATTAGGTTGCATTTGCAGTGCACAATTAGGGTTTTCTTTCCCCTTGGCAATTTTGTATTTTGTGTGTAATTCTGGAAGATATATTTTGTATATATATATATATATTAATATGTATGATTAGTGCAAAATTTGAAAACTCATGGCAGAAAGTGATATTCCACTAACTCTGACACGTGTAAGAGAAGTGAATGGTCTAAAAAAAAGGAGAAAAAAAAAAATCCTGTAAGTCCTCTTCCATCTTGTGTGAGGCAGTATGACTGCTGTTTGAATGAATGAATGACCCATTATTTAAATCTGAAGCTCATTCATATATTGTTGTTTGCCTGATGAAATGTGGTTGTGATTCTCTATATAAATGGTACCTGCAGTAACATTCCTTCCTTATAATGGAACCTACAGTTTTGATTCATTTATATAGCAGAAGCAATGACCATGTTTCAGTACATTATAAGATCTGTGATCATAATCTTACATGTATTGGGATGGTTGTTTGATATAAACAGTTTAATTTTGAAGTGACATAACTCCATTTTTTATTATTATGGAATTTAAAAGCTATGCTCTACTTTACTGTTGGTATTTGATTTTGAAACCAATGATAAATGAAGATCAGTTAATGTTTTCCTTTTGGATTAAAACAAAAAAATAAAAACAAAAAAAAGAGTAAACACTTGAAAATTATAGAGCTAGATTAAATCATCCCTTAAATGTTAGTGATGTGATCATTCTATATTGCAGCCATACACAATTTACATGGCAGTGGATTATGGTTATAATTGTCTTCTGAAATGAGTGGCCATATTCCTTTGTGATGGCATTTTTAGCCATATTGCTTTTCAAAATCCAGTCTGGAAATGAACCTTGTAGAATATTTTTACATAGATGGAGCCAATCTTCATTTTGCTGGGAAGTTCAATTTCTTGTGCACACACATTGCCATTTTTTTTTAGGATGTTGAGTTTACCTTTTTAAAATTTTACATTGTTTGGTGACTGAGTTACTAAAAGTGCTATGTTATAAATTCCTAAACACGGTGCTTTTTAAAGCCAAACATTAAGGGTCTTTTGAAGTGTAAGTGTAAAGTGACAAGATAGATGTTTAGGCATTATGACATGCACTTTACTTATAGGTGCTTGCATTCTACCTTATTATGTTGGTCATTTCTTTCTTTATTTGTAAACCTATAACTTAGGCAGATGAAAAGAGTGACAAGTGACTTGCTAATACTATTTGTTGATTGCAAGAAAAAACATAATTTATTTTTATATGTACCATGTGTAAACATCCAATTTTTATTATGTGACAAGATCAACTTTTTCATTATTTATTTTGACTGTAATAATGATAAAAAAAAAATCAGTGGACAAGGATTATGACCTATGGTGAAATATCCAGATGACTGTAAAATTAATTTTATGTAATCAAAGACTGTGCTGATTTATTGAAATGTTGGGAAGATTTGTGAATAACTGTGTGTATGTATGGTGATGGGAACCTTACAAAGTTTTTAATAAAATATTTACATTACATATGTTTTTATTGTCTTTATCTGTGGTTGATTTTTTATGGTTTTGCCCTTTTTGTGATGGAATAAAAAATAAAAGAAAGCACTTTTTTGAGAAGCATTGCTATGGAACTATTTCACTCCAGTAAAAGATAATATTAATGGATAATATTAATGTCATAAAGTGTAATGGATTGTTTGGATTTCGAACAGAAAAGTATTTGACTGGCAGATGAAATATGTGGGAAATATGTTTATATGTGGGAACATATGGAGGAGGAGGAAGAGATACTGGGGGAGAAGTGGAAACATCTTAGAGATGGGGGAGGGGCAGAGCAAAGGTCAGCACAAGGAAGCAAGAGAAAAACCTTGCTGGTGTGCTTCCTGTCTTGCTTTGAGAGTGAGGGCAAGACTGAAATTTATAGGTAGAAAAGCCCCTACAAATAACATTATGGGAACCACTACAACTGGCTGATGTGTGTGATGCACAGAGCAGTTTGAACATCATGACCAGATTGGGCACATAGAAAGCAGAAGGCTGTGGAGCAACAGTGCATTTCAGACATTGATGAGGACAGGACAGGACTCCACAAATGTAAACTTCATGTGGGAGGTCATATCTACAGAAAGTAATCTTGGTAATACTGGTGTATATGACTTATGGCAGTTTCTGGGGGGTTTAGGAGATGGAGACTGAGGTCCTATATAGGGAATCACCCTTACCTTGGACCTCAGCCCTCCCCTCAACTAATTTTACATGGTCTTTCCTTCTCCCCCTTTCCTTTACCTTCTCTGCTCCATCCCGTTCTTCTGTCCACTTATCCTAATTATTAACTCACTTCTACCCTTTTTGCCACAATACTTTACCATAGTATTATATGACCATAAATATTTAGCACATTTGTTTTTAACCATCAACCACTGCCTTCTTGAATTTGGAGACAATAAGAGGCATAAGTAATGTTAAAGGGGTTGTGGGTGGGAATTATAAAAAATGAATCCCACTTGGCTGGGCTGAAAAGAGTACTCAAAAGGTTTGTGGAGGATGAGGATGGGAAGAAGAAAAGTTTAGTAGTACTGTGGGGAGGCAAACAATAAGAATGAAGAGTAGGAATAAAATAAAGGAGACTGTGGGGGATGAGATGGAGTGGAAGATGAGTGAGAGAAAGAAATGTTTTCCAAATCACCCAACCAAGTCATACCCAACTATTAGAAAAGACTGAGCTGAAAGCGGGTATTGAGGAAAGGATAGTAGTAGTAGTGTTTGGAGTCATGATCAGAAAAGAGCCAGGAGTTGGGGAACCGGATAACTTAATGTCAGTGGTGCTAGTTGATAAAGAGGAAAGCCTTAATGCCCCTTTTATAAGGGCATAAATATTTGTCATAGTAAGCCTGGAGTATGTAGGGAATAGAAGTGGGTCAACCCTCAGGGACTTTCATGAGGGGTAAAGGCTATAACTATACAGGGAAATACCATGGCCATGGTTCCCTGAGGCCATTCAAGCCTGACCCAAAGCCAGTCTTTTATCCTTTCAACATAGCTCTCACATCTTAGGAGGTGGATAGAGATGGAGTTGGAGAAGAGAAGGAAAAGAATGGTTAATGGTTACTAGGCAAAATATATGCCAGACATCAAAGGTCATCTAGCATTAGAGAACGGTAAAATAATGAAAAGGGTAGAGAGGGTTTAGTTGATGGTTACATATCAGAAGCTCAGGAAGGTTACAAGGATGATTAGGTCAAAGTTGTCAAAGGATGTCCGAGGATAAGGTAGGGATTAGCAAAGGAGAGAGGGGTTAAGGGCAATTAGATCACAGTTTCTGAGAGACTCAGGAGGGAGATAATCCACAGAAAGGGGTTGCTGTGACAAAGGGTCACATCCAGGGGGAACAACTTGTGCATGCATCAGAACATAATATTTCAGATGATTTAATTCAATCTCTTAATAAGTTGTAATAACAAGGTCTGACTCATAGTTTGGAATTTCAACAAGGGAAGTGATGACACATATTTAATAAAACATACAATATCTTTATTTACATTATACAATCCATATAGAGAAAAAATGCTGTATCTCTAAGAGCAATGCTAGTTCACTCGAATTTACCATGCTAATGACCTTAGCTGTTGATGGCATTTTTTTTTTTTTTTCTTAATAAAATTTGCCATGTTACAATGTCTATGAAGCAACCTGAAGGTGTCATTTTTACCTCTTCTTTAGCTGGGAACATAATTTACTGGTGTTTTCCCCTCTATTTACCACATCACTAACAAAATTCTATAATAAATAACATTCTGAGTAGCTGAAACCAATACTTAGAGCCCCCTAGTATCCTTCAAGTTCTGGTACTGCTCTCGTACCATGTGGTGGTACTTGGTCAAGATGGGTCGATAGTAGTAAGCCTGGGTATCACCACGTTCAGCCATCAGATCACGCACTTTCTTCTCTAGAAGCCTGTGAGAAAAGAGTAGTTACATAATCTACATTAGAAGACTTCCTGACCCTTTCCAAGCCAATACTCTGGCTTAGGTTGCTAAGCCATCCTCAGCTGATCTGTTACAATGGGCTCTTACAAGAATAAAAAATTGTAAATCCAATTATTTACAGTTTAGGCCTAATTCTATATTAAAATGTATGAAAATATGAAATTTCCACAAGATCATAAATGCTGAAAAAAAGAAAATGAATAATAATAAATAAATAAATAAATAAAAAATAAATAACAGAAAAAAGTTGAAGATTTGTGTAAATGTTAAGTATGCATAGTTATGACAAACAAACAGGTACATTAGTAAAACATTATGAGTGCTTAATGTAGGCACCCACATAAAACCCTCTCATGCACGTAGTTTTTCAGTGGCCACATCACTAACAATGTCAATAACAATGCTACTAAGTGTCACATGGGAAACATACTGGCCAAGAAAGCTTTAGTTCTGACTAGCTTACTTTATACCCTGAGGTATAAAGTATAATCATATTGCAAGGATTACTGTGGACTAGGATAAACTACACCTAGGTATACTCTAAGAGGGGGTTAATCTGGGTTTCTACACTGCTGTCTCCCAGGGTGAATAGTGCCATCTTTTCTCATGACAATTAGGGTGTTGTGCAACATTTTGCGACACCCAAAACCTGTCTCATGATGGAAAGGCAAGGCAGGCCACAAGCTTCACCCCCTGGCGGAAATTGACGGCCAGCTGTTTTACTGTACTGGTTATTTTTTCAAGTAGTATGAAGTATTTCGGAATATAATATCAATTTTGATATGTTATGGTGGATTGTACTGTGACATGGATACCCAATATAAGTATGAATTTGCATGGAAATAACCAAGGTATGAGGAATGCATTTGGCAACTCAATAAATATTTATTGCCTATTCTATTCCTGTCCAGTAAGAGGTGTCGTATAAGCTGTAATCGTAACAATGATTAAAATAACTATGATCGAAGCAGCAAAAACTAAGGTTGGCACAATAATAGTTATGGTGATAATAATAATAATGACAAAACTGATGGAGACACTAACAACAACAATAACAATAACACATGATAATAGTGAATATCATCATGACATTAAGGTATCAAAACTAATAGTATTAAAAGTTATAATACAATAATAAACAATAAATTTGGTCATTATAACTTATTCAAGTGTTTTTTTTTTTTAAATGGGTAAGTATATAACTTCAGCAACAAGATCATTTGAATAAGTTAATACTTTTAACCCCATGTCTCCTGGTAAATGTAGTGCGCTCGCTCTGTGTGTGTGTGTGTGTGTGTGTGTGTGTGTGTGTGTGTGTGTGTGTGTGTGTGTGTGTGTGCGTGTGTGTGTGTGTGTGTGTGTGTGTGTGTGTGTGTGTGTGTGTGTGTGTGTGTGTGTGTGTGTGTGTGTGTGTGTGTGTGTGTGTGTGTGTGTGTGTGTTTGTTTGCACATAGATGACTCAACAAGTGCAAAGTAGATAACTGGTAGACCTTGTGACCTCACCTCATTTCACCTTTCCTTATGTTTTGTGAAATGTTATTCTTTACAATATTATACTATACTTATTATAAAGATTATAATTATCATATTATAGTTATTGACATTACTAACAGTGACATAAGATACAGGAATTTTTTTTTCTGAAAATCAAGAAAAAGAGACAGGTAATACAGTAATTGGGTCATTGGTGATTTAGTACTTGTGGAGCTATCTATGTGTAAAGACAATTAACCCATTGCCGCCGGGGATGGCATGTACGTACATGCCATGCCCACTGTGAGTCAACTTGTTCGATTGTTTTTACACATAGATGGCTACACTTGTACTAAGTATCCAATGAGATAATTACGAGTACTGCCTGTCTCGCCCGTTCACCCTTTTCATTGATTTACGAAAATATTTAACGTTATCCTAATTTGCTGTTAAAAATAACACCATCTGTATTTATAGCACAAGTAAAAATACGTTTTTTCCTGCCAATTCAAGGGAAGGTGAAATCAGGACTAGCAGAGCCATCTATGGACAGAGATATTTCACAAAAATATAAAAAATGAGTACTGCATTTCCCCCATTTTTTTGTTCATTTTCCCCAGCGGCAATGGGTTAATATATCAAAACTCACAGTGAGCATGGCATGTATGTACATGCCATCCCTAGTATCATCAGGTTAACAATAACAATATACCTGGTGTTTTGTGAAGATTGTGCAGTATTTTATGAATGCCCGTAATGTCTAAAAGACACTAGACTTAACAATCATAAAAAAAAAACCTTTGTGCATTTGTTTATCTTGAATTATGTATGCAAGACTCTTGTGCTGATTCTCCTATTTAATAAGAGTAAATTTTTATTTAATATAATTATGTATTGACTACCAGCTACTGCACAACAGTAGTCATTTTAGTCACGTAAGCCAGTGTGAATAGTGCAGAGAATACCTGGAAGGTACTACACTGCTTATGATGATCATATTCCATCATTCCCTAACTGTACATGTAAATATTTATGCATAACATATATGCATATGTATGTGTAT